TGTAAATCTTGTAACTTGATGCCTAATCCGAGTTGATTCCAAAAAAATAAGAGGAGAAATGACCTGTTTTGATGAAGTCAGAATTTTAGAATGATCAAAGACATGATTATATAGGGAACATCAAGTCAAAGCTTGTTGAGTTTTTTTTTCATCAAACTAATATTATATTTACTTTTTACCTAAATAAAAAATCAAACAATTAGTTAGGAAAAAATCATGTCAAAACTCATTGATTTTTTTTTATCAAATAAAGTCATTTATACTTTCTGCTTAATAAAAAATTTAATTGATCCCAGAAACCCAGTTATTCAACCTCACCAATGACTGGCGATATGGCATGGATCAACTCTCATGCAGAGTTTTAAAAGCATAATAAAAAAATAAGCAATAAATATGATTTGAAAATTCAATGAAATTGCAAAAAAAATAATAATTAATCAAGAATAGAACTCAAAGTAAAAGGAATTGCAATAATAAGAATGATGATTAAATTCAACCAAAAAAATCAAAATCAAATGTTTAGGGATGAAATCAAAAAATAAAATCCAATAAAAAAAGATTAAAAGTAAAATAAATAGGAATCAAAAGAATAAAGATCAAATTTGATCAAATAAATAAAATTTGATACAATTAAAAAATTAAGGATCACTTTACAATTTTTCAAGGCCAACACCTATTTTTGAGGTGGTGGAGAGAGAAAAAAAAGAGATGAGAAAAATTATCACTGGAGCTTTGTCATCATTTGGTGGCTGATACGTGCTGGCCTAATATGTAGAGGGTGGTGCAATGCTTGGGTTGCCACCTAGGAAGGGTACCGATGGGCACTAGAAGGCATACCAACCTCCCATTTATAGGCACATAATTTGCAAGCACCAATCAATTTTTTATTTATAAAAAAATTTAGAAAACCCTTGACCCACGTCATGATTTCAAAATAGTTGATGTCGAAGAACCGAAAATATCATTTGACCTAAGGCAAAAAAAGTTGACTCGAAGAGTTATTCGATAATTACACTATACAGAAAATGTGAAACTCTAAAAACACCTCTTAGAAATTAGTTGTCCTATCTTTTTGTTTTTTAAAGGCACGAGCTTAATTACATTTTGTAATAAAGAGAGAAAATTTTATTTTACCCTTGAGTGTGTGTTCAATCATCTAGTTTTTGAGTGATAAAATCATCATCATTATACTATGGATTGTATTGTTCACATGCATAATAAAACACCAATGGAAATTTTTGTTTGTTTGTTTGTGGTACAAACTAAAAGAGATGGTATTTTTATTGCTTCAACCTTACAAAATACTATTTTTTCACTTAAGAATTTTTTTTTCATTTGGTTTTATATGTGGTTAACTGAGTCTCATAACTTGTATCATAGATTTATGTCTTAACTTGATATACACAAGTTTTTTTTATGTTTTTTAATTGATATTTTCTTATTTTATTATTTAACATTGAGTTTATTGAAAATTAGATTTTATAATTTAATTTATTTTACTTTATATAAGGTTGTTTCGGTCTTATGACTTGGGTCACATATTTGGTGAGTTAACTTAGTTGAGTTGAGCTTTTTTTTTTCTTTTTTTAATTAAAATTTTTTACATTTCATTGACACGACCAAAAGATTGATGTTTTCTCCCAAATATAGAAATGTCGAAGTAATAAATAATCTGGCAAGACCAGGGTCGAATCACAAGAAGGTTAATTATATAAATTATAGATAACAACAACAACAACAATAATAAT